GGCAGACGCCATGCCTGCGAACGCTTACATGAGCCTCGGCAAGCTAAGCTGTGGTATGGCGTGGTATAGATCGAGGTAAGGGTCCTTTCTTCAGGGGTGTCTTTCTGCAAGGCCCGTTTGAATTAGGGCCGAAGCGATTTTGACAATTCGTCATGTGGAGTTATCAGAGAACTGGGGTTCGGAGGTTCAGGGATGGGCATCTTGTAGGGCTGGCTACGCACAGATTAAGCTTTGACGATCGCTGGTCAAATTCGTTTTGTCCAGGCGGAACACTTCGTGATAGGTAATATCATCCATGCTCACCGCGAGTCAAGATCGTTTAGGAGGTTCTCGCAGAATTGATTCAGACCCTCACCCAAGTTTGCAACTTCGCCAGGCTCTGAATATCTTCCACATGCAAGGAAAGTAGGCCGAAGCATTAAAGGTTTGCAGCTAGCATGTTCAGATATGTCAGTCTTCCATGCTGTAAAAATATCTGAGCAGGAAATGCCAACTCCTCGGCCTCAGATTGTAGCCTGAGGCCCTCGACTGAGCTCTGAGACAGAGGTTTCTACCACGCCTTTCCTTAAACTCTTTAGCTCCGCATTCAAGTTTCGCAACTGGTAACCTAAAGCCCACGACCTCACAGTCAAACTGTAGAGCCTCAACCCTGAGCTCGAACTCCGGAATCCCAATTTGTTTTAAGAGATGTGAGCTGCTGTTCACGCAGGATAGTTGGCTCCTGGCGCGGTGCCCCAGATGATTCGCGTTTTGCCTTTGCAAATACATGGGTACAGCTTCCTTCTAAAGAGAGGACACAGGAACAGTTTGAGGATCGCTTTGTTGCCGGAGCCTTGTAATGCAATTCAACAAGGTTATCAGGCTGGAGTGTCACTCTTGCACAGGGGCCCGCAAGGATGCTCTGCGTATGCAGGTGAGAGTAGAACCGTATCACCATCTGATTTAGCCTGGCATGCGGAGCAGGAATCCAGATTTGCTGGTTCTGTGAGTCTCCTTCTGCAGAGCACATGCTCAGCTATGTTTCATGTTCGAGCGATGAATTTGGAGGCTGTTGGTTTGCTGTCTTGAAAGCATAAGAGCAAACCATGTCAACACGTAACAACATCTGCGGGATGCCCGCCACGCGAGTTGACAGCTGCTTTTGGCTTGAGTAGGCCAAGCTTTCTTCAATGCTTTTTGTGGGGCGGCATCACCAGCTTGGTTGTCGGCTTTTTGCTGGCATAGGTCACAGTCCGGCGGTCTGCAGGCAAGCTCAGGCTTCTCTGAGCCCAAGGTGCGCGAATGAATTGGTCACACTTCCGCATCGGCAACAAGCTCCAAGAAATGGCATGGAAGCGCCGCTGGCCTCAGCCAAGAACCTACTCGGGATCCTTCATGAGGAGAACGTACGTTTGCGAAGCCAGCTCAGCCAGATGCGTTGGCCAACGGTGAATTCATTTGCGGCATTTGGGCAAACTTACGATCTGCCATGCAGCACACCTCTCCCAGTTTCAGGTCCGGATTTGCAAGTGACATCAAATTCTAGGCTGAGATACCTCTGTGGCTTCTTTGATGGTGATGGCTGCTGTTTCACTTCCAAGCACGTCAGCATGCTGCAAGTTAATCAGACCTTTGATCGCGCCGAGATCCTCGTGTTTTTCCTGTCCCACTTTGGCGGTGCAATACACCGCAGCAACATTGGGCGAGGCCTTCGAAAACCGATGCTTGCGTGGCGAAGCTCGGCTGACAGTGCAAGAACTGTAGCTAGGCTTCTAGCCTCGAGCAGCATAGTGAAGAGAAGACAGCTAGAGCTTGTGCAAGATTGGCCCCAACGATCAGTGGACAGACGTGCTGCTTCAGAAGAGCTGAGGGTATTAAAGCGGTATGACTCGGGCATTGAAAGTCCATGCACCTGGGAATATGTTGCAGGATTTTTCGATGCAGATGGCTGCATACAGCTCCGCACGAAAACTGCATTGAAGTTGTGTTTGGGCCAAAAGTTTCTCACAAGCTTGGAGTGCGTGCGACAGTTTTTGGTCCAAGAGCTGGGGTGCAACGTTGTCATTTCGCGGAGCCTAAGGGTTTTCCGGCTCGAGGTCACGACGACGTCCGCCTGCAAGAGCATCCTACGCAACATGTTGTCTGCTGGCTTGGTCCAGAAGGCAGAACAAGCCCGCCTCGCACTGTCTGTGACTCCGGAAAATGCCGAACAAGTTCACATCTCAGTGGGCAAGCTCGCGGGGAACCAAGCTTTTGGCAGGAGGAAGAACATTGAAGGCCTGCGCAGAGCACAGCACATCCACACGGCGCAGGCTAGGGTGAGATCAGCGCTTCAGAAAGGCCAGCAGGAGAAAGCTTCGGCTGCCATGCATGAGGTCAAAGTCCTTAAGGCCGATCATGAGCTGCAGCAGGCAAAGCTGGAGAACAGCCAGCTGAAGGAGTATGTGCGGATGCTAAGCCGTTTGCAGCGACAAGTGTGATGCATGCCGTCAACTATCAAGCAAACAGGCCTCGATAACAGCCAGGCAGCAAAGAGCTCATCGCCGAGGAAGCGCTGAGACGAGGTCAGATTGTTAAAGGGTGACACTGCGGGTACGTCTCGAACTCAATGGCTTTTCTCAGCGGCTTCATGGCAATCATCTTGTTATCTTGGGCATGAGGATGAGCACCCACCCGTTTTTTTGAGACATTTCCTTGCTGCAGAGATAAGTTGTTGACATGTGTTTTGCGCATTCCCTGTGAGTACGGCATGTTTTCTGTGTGGCGAAGAACTTCCCCACTTCCTGTGGAACTTTCTAGACACCCGACAGAATTGGACAATCCTAATGCAGATTTATAGGCGAGGCAGAGGAGGTCGCTCGATATGTTTCCCTTACATCCCCAAAACTCTTGAGACCTGTACTCTCCTCATACAACCCACCCCCTTATGCAAGAGTACCCAGCCGATACCCACCTGAAATATGCCTTCATCATTCATTTTTATCGGTTGATACTGTCTGGTAGTTAGAAGTATTGCTGTCAACGGTTCCGCGCGAATTCAAGTCCGCACTCTGATGCTGCTCTTGCTATATGGGGAGTGTTGAGCACATGTCAAGGTCTGGCCAATTCTGGCCCTGTTGCGTCCAGACAGCACAGAACCAGAAACGTGCTAGAGAGATCATTCGCATAAATTTCGCCCACCAATTTTGCTGAAAGAGTGGTTATGCAGCTGCATTGAGGCCAGCGGGGGTCAACAATGTTTGCGAGGACATTTTTCACACTACCGGGGTGACCTGAAGCAGTTGCAGCTCGATGATTTGGATGCGACTGTTGGCTCGAGGCACTCTGCCGGCAAGAATGTTGCGCAATGAGACTTATTGCTCGGAGTAACCAAGCTGGCAGGCCCCTGTTTGCGTTCTCTTACGGGCAACCAACTTGCGCTAGTTGGCAGCGCCCAACTGTTGCAAGAGCTTCTTTCAGGCAACAGACTCGGAACACCAGCTGTGGATCTCCCTTGGCTTCTGCAGGCACCTTCCATGAGATCCTTCTTAAGGAGAACAAGGAATTGCGAGCGCAACTCAGGAAGACGCCCTGGCCACCGCTGACTTCCTTTGAGGCATACGGCAAGACCTTCAGCTTGCCTTTCACCTCGGCCATGCCGTCTCCTGCCGCGGCTCCAGCAATACCTACCGATTCTCTGATGGGATATCTTGCCGGCTTTTTCGACGGCGATGGGTCATGCGTTGCTCTAAACATGCGCGCTGCGCTGCAAGTTGCGCAGACATTTGACCGAGCTGAGATCCTTGTGCTTTTGCGGGAAAGCTTTGGAGGTGGAATATACAGAATGGGTAATGGGACAGGCTTGCACAAACCGATGCTATACTGGCGTGTCTCGAACAGTACGGTAGCCACGGCTGCCAGCTTACTGATTCCGAGCAGCATAGTAAAGCGAGCACAGTTGGAGATTGTCCGAGAGTGGCCAGAACGTTCTGTGGACAGAGAAGTTTGTACAGAGAAGCTGAAGCTTCTCAAGCGGTACGACTCGAGTATTGCAGTACCGTGCACATGGGAGTACTTCACAGGATTCTTTGACGCGGAGGGCCACATAGAGCTGTACGCAAGATGTGCGTTACGCCTTACCGTAGGCCAGAAATCCGTGACAGTGCTGGAATGTATGCGACGGTTTCTCGCCCAAGAAATGGGATGCAACCCGATCATCAGACACTGGCAGAACATCTCTGTGCTAGACATTACAGGCACGTCTGCCTGCAAAAGTATACTGCAGAATATGCTTGCTGCCGGTTTGGTTCAAAAGGCCGACCAAGCCCGGCTTGCATTGTCCGTGACCCCAGAAAATTCACTGCAAGTTAGAAGCGCGCTTGGCGAGAAGACAGGAAATCAGGGTTTTGGGAAGAGAAGAGACAGTGCGGGCCTGGAAAGGGCACGGCTGATTGCCAATGCGCAGGCCCGGGCTAGAGCAGCATTGCAGAAAGGCCAGCAGGACAAAGCTTTCGTTGCATGGCAGGATGTTGCAGTCCTGAAAGCAGATCACGCCTTGCAGAATGCGAGGTTGGAGAACAGCCATTTGAAGGGACACGTCCAGATGCTGCGCAGCCTGCAGCAGCAAGGGTCCTGCGTGTCAGCCAAAATAAACAGAGTCGGATTCAGCTGCGGCTTTCAGGCAGATTCAAGCCTTAGCTCATGTGCACGGATTGCTGTGTCGCCGCCTCCAAGTAGAGTTGGGTGATGTCACTTAAGCTTCTGCTGGATCGACATCACGCTTCGAGCACCTAACGCATGTTAACCCTTCGAGTCTTCCGCCCCAAATCCTTTGACACATGGTGCCCAATCCCAAGAACCCTCAACCCCACAGAGTTGGAACCTTACATCCGTGAGGGCCCCAAACCCTGAACTCCTAAACCCTAAACTCCTAATCCCTGAACTCCTAAACCGTGAACTCCTACACCCCAAACCACCCTAAACCCTAAACCCTGGGGCCCTAGGCCAGCTGAAAGCGAGGCTCTCAACTCTGAAAGCCAAAGGTCCCAGTGGCAACAAGCCGAGCCTATGGAGCCGGAAGGCCTAGGGCCTACCGTCGATTACTATTACTACTGTTATTGCTATTCTTGTTGTAGTCTTTAGTAGGATCATTATAGTTGTTAGTCTTCTGATTCAATAGTATTCGTATTATTACTGCTTGAATTATGGCCATCAGGTATTACTGCTGTTATTGCTGTTCTTGTTATTACCTCTATTATTCTCTGGGGAACCTAGTTAGGATCAAATTCTTCTTACTACTGCTACTACTGTTCTTACTTTTTTTTAAAAAACTTATCCTCTTATTACTATTTCAAACGACTTGGTGGGTTCCAGCTTATTGGAAGGAACCTTGAAAGTGGGTGGTTATCACATGGGTCCCTAGATGCGACGCTCGAAGACGGTACATTTGCAGGGGTTGTCTGAGCCATGTGGGGGTAACCACGTGGCAACTACCCTTCAAACTGTGTTTGATACATTTCCATGCGCTGTCTTTGGGTTTAGTATGCTGCGCACCCTCTCTCGGAAACTCACAAGGTGCACTTCCATCCCAGAAAGGACCGCAAGCGTGGAGAGTTGTAATTTCTTCGTTCCCGCAATGCTTATTCTTCATAAGTCACATGTACCCAAGGGAAGTGAGGGAGCCACTGGAGATGTCTCTTATAGTGGTCTCGGAAGCAGGAGGCCTTGAGATGTGCCAGAGATAAAGGCTATGTGCACCAACAAAGCACGAGGTTTTTTAAAGCTCGTTCATTGTGAGCTGGATTGTTCCACAGGGCCTTGGGAAGCCTTTTGGTGCAAAAGAGCTGCGCATGCTAATTACATCTGGCAGTTTTTATGTAAACGCCTTCTTAAGCTGAAAAATGCACGTCTCATCTCAGAAGCATATTGAAGTAGAGTTTGCAACATGGTTATGGCGAGATTTCGAGCAAGAGACAGGTCATACCTGCATGGGGCAGCATTTCCAATTCAAACCAGCTATGAGGCAGATCAAGGGGAATTTTCGATGTTGAAAGCCCATCAACTGCATAGGATCAATGAAGGGTTGGTGGCCATCAGTGCAGCCCAGACTTTGCTGAAACGGAAGCTGCCCCTGAACGCCCACTGTAAGCCATGCACCGTGCCACTAGGAAAAGGCATCAAGCACCCCCCCGCCCCACCCCTTTAAACAGCTCTCATTGCAGGCAACGGCACCTACACCTATGTGGTGGTCTTGGGCGAGACAAGGAACCATTGGCATGGAGTTTACTCAATTCCTAAACTCCTAATACGGTTCAAATTTGGGAGTGAGCAGGGTAGTTACGTTCTGAGGCTTGAGGTCCAGGGAATGAAGCAAACGTCTGCTCCTTCCAAGTGTGGGAGACTGCAGGACTGCTGGGATATGGGTGGTTCGCAGAAGATGATTACCCGTGGACGCTCCAAGGGATATACCGCGACTACGAGGGGATTGTATGGGTCCCTCTGCTGGATAATTTTGGATCGGTGCCAGAAGCTCATCTATAGTGTAGGGATCAACTCCTTCATTGCCGGTCTGGGGCAGTAGAGCAATTCGGGTGAAGAGTGTCAGGATTCAGGCTGCAGCTTCTGAAGCCTTTTACATTACTAGTAGGGACCGAGACTTTGGGTTTTGACTTCTTCTCTTCAATGAAGGGTCTTGTCCTCCTTGCAATTTGTGTGTCTGTATGTGTAGGTCATGGTATCGCAGTTCTACAGTTTCCACAAGGACATGGGCTTGGTCCTGGAGCATATCATGCGGAAGTTGGGTTTCGGCCTTGGCTTGTGCGAATGTCCCTCAAGGCTGGTCTCGTTCTCATGGGTTGCCCTATGCCAAGCCCACACTGTAGTACTAACCCCATACTACCCCTGATAGGTTCACTCGTAACTAGCTCTGACAAGCCTTGAGTCTTCCCAGGGAACCCTAGTCAAGGGGGAGCCTAGGGGGTGACTCGAATGGGGATCCAAGATTTTCGGAGAAAGACGTAACCTCGATCCAACCGGTTCTCCAGAGAATGATCTGTAAACAAAAAATTGGAACCCCAAACTGCACAGTTCGGGTTTGGGGCTTGAGGTTTAAAGCTGGGTCAACGTTAGGTACCCTGATTCTGTTTGTACAGTAGCAGGCAAGATCTCTGTTTCTAATTACTATACCAGAATGCTCAAGGAGTAATGTACTTAGGGGCATGTCATCCACCCAGACCTCGTATAGCTATCAAACATTAAGAAAGGCTTCCTTAGGACAGCAAGTTCTAAAGGCCTTAGAAAATGCACCCAACAAACTAGGCTTCAAGAGGCATCCCTGAGTTCAGTGTTGCTAACAGCCCCTTTTAAGGGTACCCCTCCTCCCCTCCCCTCACTTAGAGCTACCCGAGTTCGTGCCAGGTTTGAGCAGTTCCAGATCTGGCTTGTCCGGCTCTCAAAATCGAAAGCTTCTATTTACTGGTACCTGACCTCGTGCCCTACATAGGAGTTTCTCAGAAGCACCTGCCATAGGATCTTTATAGGGAGCGCGCAATCCACGTGCAATCACCATAGACTGTCTGTGTGGTGCCTGAGGGCCTATGCTGAGAAACCCCTGCATCCGAGTCACCAAAACCAACATTGAAACCTACGTAGGCTTGTTAGAAATGCCGTAGTCATAGTCTTTGTCGGGCCTTTCTGAGCCTCCATGTTAGTTTGTGGGCACATAGCAAGAGATTGGACCTTGACACATGCTTCGTTAGAATCCACAGCCTTGGGCATCCTTGATGTTTTCCGTCGTCGCACTTTTAAGATCGGACAAAGTCGGGTTATTTCATGAATTCCATAATATATTCTGCTGCTCGATTTCTTGTAGTACTTGTAGTACTTGTAGTATGGACTACATTTGTTTGAATGTGGAATGGGGCACCCGATGACCATGTCAGGTAGGGTGTCCTTTCCCCAGACCGCCATGAAGAATCCAAAGCTGGAGCTTTACAATCATCATCTAGTCTCCCGAAACCATAAACCAAAAAAAACCTCCCAATGCAATACTTGGGTCATTTGGATCCTTTTAGGGGTCCTTGTTGTACTCCCAGACTAGAACAAGTTTCTAAACAGAGAAGCCTGTCACGTTTGCTCCACAGTTTCACGCAGGCTTGCAGCCAAGAATTTCTATCCCTAGTTCCTTAGATTCCCCACCCCAAGAAGCCTAAACCTCAAAAGCTTCAGGAAACTCCCAAAACTTAAAGCACGAACCCTAAACTCCAAACCCGAAAGCTCGAAGCCCTGAGCCCTCAAAACGTTAAACCGGGGCCCTTTGCAGCGTGACCCAGGATGGTGAGTCTCACCGGGTCCTGTGCGCCCGGCGGCGTTAATCACCGGAGAGGTCATGAAGAACTCTCAGGGAAGAGGGGTTATGCATCACTTAGCAAAAAACCTGGTCCCAAAGAAGGATATGAGCACCTACATGTGCTCTACTTGTACTTTGCAAATCCGGCTGCAGTCACGGCATGTTTGCTCGCAGTCAAGTGGAGCTGTCATGGCAAGAACATGCTGGAGGCCCACAGCTTTATTGTCTTGATGCTCTGAATCCCAAGACTCTTGAACTCGAAGCCGTGTACTTAATGCAACATGCGACGAGCCCTATGTCCCAACCCCTAGGCCTGAATCGGAGATGCGCCTAGGTCTCAACCACTAAGACTCAAATCCCGTAAGTCCCAAACTCTGAAACCTAAATCCCCCGAAATTCCCAACCGTAAAGCCCGAATTCCAAGAGCTCACGTAGGCTTGACTGCTCCTTTGCGGGTATATGGGAATTTGAAACGAGAAGGGATCACTGTGTTGGGGTTGCCTGTCACGATGGCCGTAATACGTTCGGAGTAGAACAAAGCGACCCTCAGGATTATGACATGACTGTTGCGGGGTCTTTCTTTATTGGTCGGGGATTCGGGGACACCAAGCAATGTTTTTCATGGCTTCAGCTTCATTCCCTCAACCACAAACTCTTGATCCTGAGCCACAACCTTACCGGAAGCCAGAATCTCGGAAAATCAGGATCCCTCCGCCCTAAGAGCCAGGAAGAGGGAAGAGCAGTATGGATCATTTTTGAATGTTCCAACTTCTTGTTTTTCTTCTTTTTATTGTAACCCCATGTACAGAAGAGCCTCGGACGGACATCAAACTGCCAGGCATCCTGGCCACGCTAAGGGGTTCAAGGACACCTTGGAGCTGTGTTCTCTATGTAGAAGCTGATGAAGATTTTCTGCTTGAGGCTTGGACAGTTGAAGGATAAAAGGGTCAGGTTGTCAGAATGGGGGCTCAGGAGCTTGGGGCTTAAAGCTTAGAGCTGCTTGGAATTTAGGGCTGAGGGCTTGGCGTGCAGGGAGAAGGGTTAAAAGTTGAAGGTAGAGAATCAGCAAGGTTCACAGGGCATATGAAAATTTGGCTTGTTCTCATGCAAGGTAAGAGGGTTCAAACGGGCTTGCGGTGATAGTTCTAGTTGCAACAGTTGGTTGGCTGGCTGCGGGCCAACCCTGCATATTGTCCATCAAAATTTCACGGAATACTGCCTGACAATTGACAGTGCTCACACACCGTGGACGCCATGACAATAATTTGTTGCTGGGTCACCCTTAATAGGCTGCCCACCAGCTGGGACGTGGCCGGCTTACGGGTAACCTTAAACCCTAAACCCTCAGTCTGAGAGGGCGAGTAGCCAAATGCCTGGAGGCTGCATGCCTCAGCAAATGTCTGAAAACAAGAGTTACCCATCAGGTCCACCCACCCAGTAATAGTGACTCTAAGGGATACTAAGGATGATAGTAGGGTCCTCTAATATTCCTAGTATCCGCTATCACAGGGTGGGGGTCCTCCTAAGTTACTCAAATCTTTGAATCTTTCAGCAGAGGTGTCCCAAGAAGGAGCCCTACACCGTCAAACCTAAACTGAAAACTTTAAACCCCAACCAATTTTTCAGATGCTCCCAAAACAGGACACCACCGTGTTTGGTCCAGACTCCATGGGACATGGTGCGCCCCCGGGCACGGGCTTACATGAGTCTAGGACGTAGGCATTAGTTTTAAGTCTGGTAGTTAGGGTTTAGCCTTGGCTTTAATGCTTAGGTTTCAGGGTTGAGGGCGGTATTCGCAAGATATGACGGGGTTACAGGGATTCCTGCTTGGAAGCTCCCATTGATTTGTGCTTTCTAGGTATGCTTTTAGAACAGCTTTACGCATGCCAGCCTGACACAGCTCCATCGGTAAAGATTATTCAGTTCCTCTATAGATTCCCGCGAACCTCCAAGTGGACAGGCTGCAACTGGGTCATCGACGGCCGCCAGGAGCTGCCAGCGGTTCGGAGCCTGGCGAACTCTTTTCTTGCTCTCCAGGGCTAAGGGCAGTATTCACTGTGATTTTGTGTGCAGCGTCTAGGGTGTAGAGATGGGGACGGGTCAAGGTGATTGAGTGTGTGCTTGTGGATTGGAAGTATTGACTATGGTTTGGAGAGCAATGTCTGGAATTCGGGTTTGGGATTTGGGGCACAGGGTTTCGAGCACCTCTCAGAAAAACAGCCACTTCTAAATTTGAAAAAATATGGTGGGTTCAGAAAGAGAGTTAGGCAGCATCTTCCAACAATAGCTTGAAGACTTGACCGGTTCATCACCAAATTATCAGAAGGCTCCTCAACCCTAAACCCTAAACTCTACACACCATACCTTAAACTCTCCACCTCCATGAAGCCATCAAGCCTCGAACCGAACCCTGCCCCAAACTGACATGCACAACCGCATAGTGCCCCCTTTTAATAGAGGGAAACTCGCCGTCCAAGGCCCTAAACCCTATATCCCCCTATATACCCCTTCAACCCCCAAAAAGGGAAACCCTAATCCCTAAACCCTACATCCCCCTCAATAACCCTGGGTACTCCCCCCCCAAAAGGTACCCCTAATTTTGGGAAACCTCATCCCTAAAGCGCTACATCCCCCTCCATAACCTGTAGGTAACCCACAAGAAAGGTACCCCTAACTTTGGGAAACCCCAAACCCTAAACCATACACATCCCTACATCAACGCTATAATCCCTTTAAAGTGTACCCCTAATTTTGGGAAACCTCCATATGAGCCATTGTCTAAACTCCTTAAACGGGGGTATATAGGGAATTATATAGGGGACTAATATAGGGTCTATTAATGGGGATACTAGGAGTTTAGACTATAGCTCATATAAGCTCCGTGAGTTGACGTGGCTGGGGATCCCAGGTCAAAGTCCCTAAGGAGCTGGGCCAGGAGATGGCATGGTGGGGACTTGGGGTTTTAGGGGTTTCAAGTGGGGGCTGGCGGGGGGTTTCAGGGTTTTGGGCGGTTTTGAGGAGTTGAGGTTGGAGCTAAGGGTGGAGGTAGGGTTTTAGGAGTTGAGGGTTTTGAGTGCCTTTTTTTGGCTTTGTGGCTTTGGGGTCCGGGGTCACGGGCTTTGGGATTGTGAGAGTGGGGGTATGGAGTTGGAAGCCAATAAATTCTAAACCCTGGTTTTAGAGCTCGGACCATCAAACGGGAGTTTTCTTCCTCTTCCCCTGTGAAACTTTTGCGAACCACACTGCTCTTCTGATTTCAACCACCATGAATCCCTGTGTACCGCACAATTTATCCGATGTACCCCAGGTTCGAGAGATCTCCGGGACGTGCATCAACAGGTTGTTTACATAAACGGATCTGGAGTTTGAGCAATTCCCAGACCTTAAGCTCTATTCAATATGGGGTTTCCAACAGTGAGTTCCTCTTACGGAGCCCTGTGCGGAGGACTTTGGGAGGACTTTGGTATTTTGCAGTAACTTGCATTCAAAACCTAAACCCCAGACCCAAGCCATAAGCCGAAACGCTGATCCGTGAACCCAATATACCCATACCCCATCCCCCCTCTCCGTCCCCCCCCCCCCAGTTTCGAAGGGACCTGAACGTGTGAAAGGAGAGCGTCCTGATGAAGACAACGGCCGCACCATTGGCCGCTCCAGTCTCAGCTCCCAAAGTGCCAAACTTTGGGACAGTGCTTCGGGTTTTACGGGATTGAGGATTTAGGATGGTTTTGGGGCTCTATCTCCGTCTTCCTTACATTGCAGCTTGGGTACATCTCATTTTTTGGTGTCGCACGCTATATATGTCTACGAGTTCCATATTCTAGCAGGCCCACATGTGGCTTACCTAGATGGTATTAAGTGGATGCTGCTTGTGCGATTGGTTTGGATACTTGAGTAATGCAGTCGTTATGTGTTCAGGCATGCGCATGTACAGAATGTCCCTGCTTGTCATACAACGAATTTAGGTCTTGCCTGATGTCAAGATGACGTGGGGATGATCTGACTAGTGGTTCAGAGGGAGGTCCAACCTAGCGTTCACTGGGACAAAGGCAGCGCTCCCGGTTTCGAGTGTAAGAACCTTGAGGCTCCTGTGATCTTATAGTCCCCCTGAAGTAGATAGAATATCGCTTTGGGTATACTATGATAAGACCCCCATATACCCCATATTCTATCCTATTCTATCTACTTAAGGGGGACCATAAGGTGAGAGGGCTGCCATGCAAAGATGCTCTGGCAGAGATTGAAATCGTCTACGGCGCATGAGCGCTAAAACCATCTGCATATATGTACGTAGCCATACACGTATGTACATACCCCATCTACCCCCATGACCCACTTTAGCAATCCTAAGGCGGCGGCCTCGGAGAGTAAGAACCCAGACCCAGCTGAATACCCTGGACACAAACCATAAACCCTTAACCCTGATATACCCTGAACCCCCACCCCTGCATCCTAAACCCGAAGCTTTCTACCCAAAACCCTGTACCCTAAACCCTAAACCCTGCTCCCCAAACCCTATACCGTAAACCATATGCTCCCCTGATTTGGGGACATGGGTAAGGCCACAGCCTCTGGGGGCACCTCATCTTCGAAGATCCCTGCCGCCGACTTTGGCATGCCAGGCCCATCTTGCCACTAGCAACTTCCGTTTCGGAAGTTCCTATGACTAGGTAGAGGTTAGAGTTTAGGGTTGAGAGTGTAGGGCTTAAGGCTCAGGGTTTCATGTCACGAGTGTAAGGTTACAGGTGAAGAGTGCAGGGTTCAGGATTTCGGCGTTTGGGCGCATCATGATAGTGGATGGTTTGAAAAACAACAGCCGTTCTTTGGCAAATGCCCAGCTATCTGGTCTCGAATTCAACTGTTGTATAACGTGTTTGCAGGTGTTTAATGTGGTTTTATTGGTGGACACTGTTCAACAATCTCTTAGGAAGTCATGAAGATTTGTAGCGGAATGCCTGCTGGAAAGCCCGCCTCTACTTGTAGTATTAGTAGGACCAGTTGAAGATGGCCCAAGTTTTCTGTGAGTAGGCTTGTCCGTACGGCCTTGCACCGGGTCCCCCACCAACAGCAAACTTCGCCGTCACATCATGCCTAGATACCCAAAAGCGCCCATACTGGCCACAATGATTTATACGAAGTTTGTGAAGTACTTAAACTAAGAGTGCCGGTGGTACCTTGATAGACAAACTCCTTCAAAACTATATACCCAAAGCCCAGGAATTGTGGTAGCATACTACACTGCAGGTCATGCCGGACTTTGTCCATCAACCGTATGAGACGCACACTACACCCTTGACCCCAAAACCGCAAAGCATTAATCTTCCGGACACGTTACAGGTGACTCGTACCGCTCGCTGCCCAGTTGTTGGCTTTGGGTTTTCTTGCAGGTGCATAAGGCAATTGGGGAGGGGAGCATTGGTTTTTTCAAAATAGTCGCATTACTACATGAGGGAAACTTCGGGACATGCATTGGGGAAACTAGGGGATTATTGGGAGGTTCCATTCTCTCTATCCTTGAAATCTGGGTACGTTTCTGGATCAGAATTTGGCCCCCCCAGGGTGCATGCGATGTGCCTGAATAGCTGGCAAGGCTGTTCTGTCATAATCTGAAACCACTTTCAGTCTGAACTCTACTAAACCCGAAGTCTGAGGGATCTGGGCCCCAGCAGTACCACAATTGCACAGCCTTAGAAAAGCCTTGTCAGCAGAAAATAGTTAAATAGACGGCCAGGCTCCCAGAGAGAGTGCATGAGAGGAACAACTCTTCTTACGCAGCCGCCCTATTGCTGCTCAGTATCAACAGGTGCGCACGCAGGTCTGAATAGAGAGTTCATGCAGGATTTCGTACATCATGAAAACCCGAACATGCTGAGCTGTTGTCGTCCCTTCGCCTAAACCCTAGCCTTCCCCAAACTAGCATGGAACCTGCAAGTCGTCCAGTGAAGACCACCACCCATGAAAACGCGACTAGATGAGGTTAGAAGGATAACCCGAAGCTCTCAGGAGTAGAACTCCGTATCAATGGCCGGTGGCGAAACGTGCCTTGGACGTCCATTGGTACGGGTCAATGTTGTGTTCCGGGCTTACCTTTGGCTTGAAGTCGCAAGCGCATAGGCCTTGTAGGAGTTCGTGATGGACAATATTATACTCTGCCCGTGGATAGAGTTGTTCGTGATTTCTCTTGCGTGCTTTAGTTTCCTGGAAGCCCATTTGTCCTCCTTCGAACAGGACAGTAGGTTTTGTAGTTTTTTGGGAGTCGTTCCATTTTGGTTTTGGGGAAGGCCAATATTGGGTCATGCTTACAGTAAGTGTCCTAAAAGGGGTTCTATTAAGGGGCTGCTATGATTCGTATGATCTCCTGTGTTAATTATTAGTGTGAGGCGGTATGACCTAAGGTACATCCGAAACCTTCAGTCTTTACATCCCAGACCTGATTGCCCAATGCCTGAACCTGTCCGCCCAGACTTTGTACAGCACGCTCCGTTGACGTCTATGTTAGATCGTTGTAAGCCCGAACCCCCTAAAGATCAAGTCCAAACCCTAGGCTCTTAAAGCCCGAAAACCCTAAATCCCTAAACCCTGAACCCCGAACATGAAACACGACAACCCTAAACCCGAAACCTTAAATCCCGCAAAGCCCAAAAAACCCTGAGCCCGAAACCTCAAACCCCCAAACCCCATAAACCCAAAACCTTAAACCCCCAAAACCCCCAA